GGGGGGTTCGATGATGAGGCTCCTTGAGAAGTTCCCGAGGCGGAGTACTGTTTGGAGGAGGGCCAGGAGAGTCCCGTCATCAGCGCCATCAACTTTATCAACCTCCGTTCTCCAGTTCTCTAAGAAGTCCCGAAGGGTCTCCTCCTTCCTCTGCCTCACTGTCAGCAAGTGGGGAGAAGTGCTTTCTTGTGCGGCGCCTTCCCGCAAATTGCGTCAAGAATCGTTGGGCGAGTTCTTGCCATGAATCAATGCAGCCCTCGGGAAATCGATTGAACCATTCGTTGGCCGGCCCCTCTAAGGTGGAGACGAACCAGCGGCACAAATACTCATCCGATGCCCCCACCATCATCATGCTGTTTTGGTATCTGCTGTAATGCTCATGGGGGTCAGTTTTTCCGTCGTAGGGCTTGATGAGTTGCCCTCGGTATTTTTCCGGGATCCGGGCCGCCAATACCCTTGGGGTAAATGGCGTCCGGGTCTGGAGCTGTATGGTGGGTTCCCCGGAGCCCTCGGTTATCTTCCTCTGCATTTCCTCCATCTTGGCCAACATGGCCTCATACTTGAGGTCTGTATGAGGGGCAGAAGTGGTGGCGTGCGCTTTGGTGGCCTCCATCTTGTCAAGCCAACGCTGAAGGGCCGCAATGATTTCATCCCGGGGGTCCTTCGGGAGGGCCTCCAACCCCTGTGAATGGACCCGGGCCGAGTGGGCCTGGTTGGTTTGGTGGCGGGCGTCATTGGCATGGAGAGGTGTCTTGCCTTTGTCCTGAGGGGGACGACTTTCATTGGCCCTGGAGACGGATCCGCCACTTTCCTGAGGCCTCTGGAACGCCTTCCTCCCGAGGCGGTCTTGGACCCCTCGGCGGTCTTGCACCCCTCCGAGTCTCTCGAGGGTGGAGGTCCGGAGTTGTTCTTTGTTCACGTTGTGGCGGTCCCGGGACTGGACTTCTTGGGAGGCCGTATCTTGGGCCACGACCCCCTCGACGTTCCCAATCCGGAGGACAGGGTTCCCGAGGGGGTGTGGATGAGGGGGAGGCATGACATTCTCCCCGACCTGAGGCTGGAGGGGAACCAAAGTGCCGAAGGCACCTGGATTCTGGGTGAGCGTCTGGATGAAGGCGGAAAACGCCGATTGTACGTCGATTGTAATTACCGGAGGGCTAACTTGGTTCTCGCTCCGGTCCTTTTTCTTGGCCTCGATGCCGAGGCAGGCATCGGGGGCATTCTGTTGAATCTGATGGCGTAGGTCGACAGCCGTCTGGTCCAACCCGGCGATGACGCCGCCCCCGGGAGCCCTGTTAGAGGCTTCGGGGACGTCGACTTCGCCGAGGGCCAGGTTCCTGTCCTCAACATTCTTGGAGTTGTCACGAGTTGTTCTCACCATTTTAGCTGGGTGTTTTGTGTTTGGCGGGGGGGTTCTTACATGATTATTCGACCCCTCAACTGGTTGGCGATGGCAATCGCACATGGGCGCATTTAATGCGGCTGTTGGATGTGACGTCGTACTTTGTACGGTGATCCAGGTGCATGTGGAGTGGATATTATGTCGAGAAAGGGGTCCTCGGCTGTAGGTGACTAGCCGAGGGCTCTGAGTACCGGGTACCTCCTTAGTGCCGAGGGCTCTAGGTGCCGAGGGCTACTGATTTTTCGCCATTTTCTCCCAGTAACTTTGTTTTCTTGATTTGGCCATCCTGTGAGAATTGGAGCCTTCGGCCAGGGGGCCGAAGGCACTCTTAGTGTGCCACGTGGGTTGCTTAATGCTTGGGGAATCGTGATTTGGGCCTGCTGTGCTTCCTGGGCCTATTGGACCTCCATTAGAATAATAAGAGTCTATGGGTCGGGGGTTCCTGGGCCATATACTCCATCAATGTATTTATTTTGATGAATACAATAATAGGGAGAAAGTAAGACGAGAGACATGCAGAACATCAATGATATCTTTATCTCCTCAATGGGTCGCTGTCAAATAAAAGTATTGAATCTGAGGTTTGAATGGTGAAAGCCAAGGTACAGTAAGTACGAAGGGAGTCTTTATCCTCAACATTATGCTCGACCATAATAATAATTAAATTAATAATATAGTTAGTACGTATATAAAAAGTCATTATATTATACTTATCTCAATTTAATGACAGTACAATTGCACAATCATAGCTTGCCTTGTTCTGCTGTCTGTTAAGGTGGAGCAAAAAGCTTTCCAATTTATTTATTTTATATCAAAACAGTATAAAGTTTATGAAAGCTGTGGTCCCTGATCTAGAAAATTATTAACATTATATGTGGGGCCTAATCCAGAAAATTATTTTGTTAATGGGCCTTAGCAATAAAATCATACTTGTATAGTAACATTGTTTATAGGGCCTGATCTAATGTTCTTATCATCCCAATAAAAAACTTGTTGAGGTTAATTCAATACGAGATTCTTATTAATGTTTTCCTCACCACATTTTCATATTGCAAGAACAAAGTTTTGGAATCCATTAATAATAGAGCTTCAAGTTATTCTAGAGAGAAGAAAAGAATAACTAACTAGGGGGAGATCGGGAGAGAAGGACATCCCAAATATGGACGGAAACCTTCCTATTTATCGGAAAGGAGGGATGTATACAAATATATACCCTAATGGGTGGAATGAAACATAAAACGTCGAATGAGTCGAAATGGGCCAAAATGAGCCTCAGCTCACTGATCGGATTCTGTATAGGTAGTATATTAAGCTTCCGGGATAATAGTAGGGCGAGGTCTAATATTCCAACAAAAATATTTTTTTAATAAGATTTCTGTACTAAAAGAAGAATACAATTGTTTAATGTGACATACCAAAAATTTATAATGAAGTACCATGTTTCTAATTTTTTGAATTACTAGTGTTTTCTGAGTTTAATGAAAAGGCTTTGCAAACTAAAACTATGTAAACGATTTAGGCTATTCTTCTTTTTCTGCGTCAAAGACTTCTTCACCTGTTCACCTAAAGTATGTAGAGAGCAATATTAAAATTATTGAGGAAAGTTTGTAACACAAAGACAATTATTGAGAAAAATCCACATGCGTTTGCTTTTCCTGATTGGAAAAGTGAAAGATGACTATTTTTAATCAGACGGAGAGAGTAATACAGCAATACGGAGTATATGAAACACATTCAAAATAGAACATGTGAATAATATAACATTTAACAAGTTACATCAATTCAAGAATGTCTTGAAACGAAGGACTCAAGTAAGAGAAGAAGGGGATAACTGGTTCTGGGCATATTTCAAATATGAGCGGCTTCCCAATCTTTGTTTTATTTGTGGAGTGCTGGGACACACTGACCAATATTGCCCATCTAATACTAGTTCAGGGCCATGGGTGCGAGAGAAGCCTTATGGGCCTTGGTTGAGGGCAGATACACAACGCGAGGGGATTCATCCGGGAAATAAATGTCTTCTTCCGCGTGAAAGGCGTGAGTCATCAAGTGCAAGGGAAGATAGAAGAGAGAAATATGGACACCAGATAGGGATACAAGAGAAGGCAACATATGCTGACTGTTACTTGGTCCAAGGACTTACTTCGAAAGGAAAAGAAAAGATGGGAGCCGAGGAAGAGCAGAACCAAGCTAGAGCTCTTGAGGAAGGAGAGCTAGAAGCAAGGTCAGCAATGCTGTTAGATTTGCCTACTTCTTTGCGAGGTTAGCGACTATGATGGGTCCTCCTGGGACAATAAAGCCTATGTCTCACCCCTATGGTAACCTTGAGCTATTGTGTTGTTTTACCTCTAGTTACTTTCATTATTAATAAATAAGTTTTCTCCTTAAAAAAACAAGTTACATCTATTTTAAGAACGAATGTAATATTTTTAAAGAACACCAACAATGCGAAGTCCATTTTGTACATGAAAATACAACATCTGACAAATTATTTAATAAATAATAATCAAAGTGATCTAAATGACGCTAAATACGTCTGTAAAATTGAAGCTTATCAAGATGAAAGGAGATGATAGATCTCTAATACATTGGGTCGTAGCTAAACTAGTAGATAAGAAGTGCCACAAGGGGTAAGTCTCAGATTCGAATCCTGACAACTACGATGAGAGATTACTATGCAAAAATGCATTATGCTTCTGCAAGTACCTCGATCAGAGCCTCATGCATTATCTGTCAGCTTGTGATTAAAGTTCAATTTACATCTTCCCGGTTAACTGTTCGGTGGGTCCTGAGGAACCTCAGGGTTGAAGTTTCGTCCGTATATTGGGCCGACCATTGTTGCAATAATGCGGGGGCATGGACGCCAAGAAAGGGGACTTGAATGAAGTCGGAGCAGAACAAGTTGAGTTCAATTGACAACTATGCTGATGAAGCAGCTAAAAGGTGGATGTAAGTGTCAAAAAGTTTGTGGAACCTCTTTTTTTAACCCATGGAAGTAAGGAAGCATATTTTGTGCATTATTACAGGCATAAACATAAAGGGTGCCTTACCCTTATATCTCTAAAGTTGAAAAAAAATTCGGTGAACGTAGCTCAATTGATAGATAAAAGGTGTCATAAGGAAGAGATTTCGAGTTCGAATTCCGACAACTGCGAGGAGGTTGCTATGTAAAAATGCATAAAAATTCTGCAAGTATCGGAACTAGTGTTTCACTCGTTATTTGCAAGCTTGTGATTGAAGTCCAATTACATCCTCCCCGTTAACCGTCTCATGAGTGCTGATGCCCACATGGATATAGTGTCATCCTTTTTTTAAGTTGAAAAATCTATCCATGGAGAATCTCCCACATTAGTCTAACTAAAAGATTGACTCTGATTATACTCTTCATACTAGGCAGTAAAAAGGTCACTAGAGCAAGTTGAAACAGCAAGATTGTGCACCAGAAAATACTGTCCATACAAACAAATAAATGCAAATAAGGTCATTCCAAGAGTATATCCTGATTCTTCTCATACACTCTGCTCCTCAGGACCCCATTCCTCCATATGCTCCATATGGTATATAGTATAGCCAAATCTTAATCCCCTCCCCCAGCCATCCTGAAGTTGTAGAATTTCTCAGTTTTCCATCTACCTCATTTCCCAAATAAACTGTCTGACAGGAGAAAAAAACATTCTGAAAAACATCAGAAAAAAACAATAACAGAAGAATCTTAGTATCTATAAATTCTCCTTCTGATGATAAAAAAAGTGTCAATCATTAATGGAGTCTCTTGGGTACACTTCTTCTTCCAAGAAGACCAATGACTTGATGAGACTCAATGATGTTTCTTTTGATTCAAATCTCAAACATGGCGGCGGGGAAGAAGAGCCTGAAATCAATGTGTTTGATGCCAAGAAATACTTCAGTGACAGCACTGATTGGAAGGAGCTGGGCAGAGGGTCGGTGTTTCCTGAAAATATTTACGACAAGAAAGAGGTCAAGATCTCTGATCTGTCGGAAATCGAGCGGTTTTCGTCTGTTTCGTCGGTGGACGGCGGCGGGTTTGGCCGGAATGCCAAGGCTGGTTCTTTCCGTACCGCTACTCCGACAGCTTCATCTGAGGCTAGCTGGAATAGCCAAACTGGGCTTCTGTCCAAACCTCCGGGTGCAATTGAGGTTTCTCTAAGGAATCTTTCCAGCCGCAGGGGGAAGAGGAGAGGCTCTGCTTCGGCAGCGACGGCGGCAAGGTGGCTGTTTTGCAGGTCAAAGTGTCCGTGCTCTGGCAAGAAATCCGTCCAGGTTGAGGAACCACACTCCGACATTGATCAGGAGAGGATTGAGTTGGAGGAGAGAGATCAAAATCTGTCTATGAAAGTTAAGGTTAGTCCTCCGGAAACAGGGCAGGGGATATTGTGTCGGTCTTTTCCCGGCGAGATCCCTTTGACCGCCGCCGCCACAGGCGTGGGATTTTCCTTTCCGGTTCTGAAAACATCATCTCATTCTCCGGCGTCTGTTTCTAAGATGACGATCAAAACAAGCGGTTTGCGAGATCAATTTCCTCTTCATCAGGATTCGCTAGAACATTTCCAGCCACCGATTCTTGGAAAGACGATGGAAGTAATTCAGTTCAAACCTCAGTCACGTGGCGGCGGATTGGACAACAGAGATCTGCGGACAGGCAATTGCGCGTTTCCGGGAAGCCCTGATCGGTTGACGGCGGCGGAAGACGACGCCGGGAGCGACGCGAGCTCAGATTTGTTCGAGATCGAGAGCTTCTCAACTCAGGCAAACAACTACCCAACGTACCGACGGCGGGACTTGCTCGACGACGAGGGGCCGTTCAACGCGCGTCGGTTCTCCGCCGCCATCAATCTCTACGGCGGCAGAAGAAGCCTGGACGAACCGGCAACGCCAAGCGTGGCGGCGACGGAGAATTACCCGCCGAGCGAAGTGAGCATCGACTGGAGCGTGACGACGGCGGAGGGATTCGACCGGGCAAGCTCAAATAACTTCTCGATAAGAACGATGGAAATGAAAGAGCACATCCACGGCGGCGGCGGGAGGCAGGGGACGGCAGGGAACAGCTACGGAGTGGGGGGGAAATGCAAGGGGGGTGGGTTGCTGAGTTGTCGGCACGAGAAGGCAGTGAGCGTGGTGGGGCCACGGCCAGTGAAACTTGCGTCGGATCTGATAGGACCGCCACGTCCGCCGGCATCGCCGCTGGCAATAATGCCGGCAGCTTCGCATGTGAGTGGTAGGCCACCGAAGCCCATCAAGCCGCCGCAAGGAACATCGCATTCCGCTCGTTTGTCTCTAGCTTTCGCAGCATAAAATAAACTGCCTCCATGTTTCCCTGTCTCTCTTCTTTCTCATTATCCTTCTTGTTATTATTGTTATGTTATGTTATTATTAATATTAATATTATTATTATTATTATTATTATTATTATTATTATAACTTTTATTATAACTCTTTCTCTTTTCTTGTTTTTCTTCCCTATCTAGACTAGATTTTGAGCCCTATTTTGTGATTTATTATTATGGCCATTGATTTCCTTTTGTATATCGACACATTCATATGTTTTTTTGTGCAATAAATTTTTAATCATCAAGAACTGAAGTTACTGAATAAGGAAGAATGTCTTGATTTGCATCTAAGTAATTAATGAAATGTTGACTTAGCTAAATTCGAAATCTACAATTGCAATGGAAGTTGGGGTTGAGAGGTAATGAGGCAGAGAGTAAAATACATTTGTCCAACAAAGTTATAAAAGTGCTGATGCAAAATGCAAATTAATCCAAATTAAATGATTAACCTTTTTTTGACTAGTACATCTCATTAATTAACTTTTCTAAAATATATGAACTTTAAATTGTACTCGTTGAATTTTTAATATCTAAAATAAGTAAATTTGGAGTGTAGCGGCAGAGTATCATATGATTTTCATATACGGAGTATATGGTAAAGATGTTTATTTGAGGTATTTTCATGTAATTTTATCTTCATTTAATTTACTAATAAAACTTATCGAAATATAATTTGTTCATAATTTCCTAATTCCAATCTACTTCAATATAAGTTTCACAATTTCAAAAAAATCTTTCTATAAGTAATGTCACTCTCTCATAATGTAAATAGACCCATTGACATGAATAGCCCATAGGCCATAGCATTCAATTGAGTTAAAATTTAGGGAAAATTTTCGAAATAGGACTAAAATTGTTTCAAAATTCTAAAATAGGACTGTCATGTTTTTTATTCTCAAAATAGGACTAATTACTGCCATATTTAGAAAATACTGACATGTTTAAAATGTGGTACTGCCAAAACATGACAGTAATAAATCATATTTTGGGAATAAAAACATTGCAATTCTATTTTGAAATTTTCAACAAATGATATGACATCCCAAAAGTCTCTTCAACTTGCACTCTTTTTTGGATCACTCAAAAAGAAAACTTTCTTGAATATAGTCCCACACCAACAATGCAAATTGCAAATAGACCCATTTACATGAATAACCATACTTAGCTTATAAGCCATAGCTATTCGATCAATATATACTTCCAAAATACTCGGTTGGATTTATTCCTTCCGTTCAATGGTCGATTCTAGATGAGTAATAAGTAAAGAAATTGGGAGAGTAGGGAAGGAAATGATTTATTAGGTTCCTATTTGCAGAAGAAACACCTAGCTACAATACAACGAAGAATAACTGGGATTTTTATCTTATTTTCTTTGTCTCATTTTGTAAGATACGCTTTCTATTTTGATCTAAAAAATATTAACATTTCCTTAAATTAGACTTCATTAACATTTTACGTTCTCACTTTATCCCTTATCAATCATTTCACTTTTTACTTTTGTATATCCATTTTTCTGTTTCTTATTTTTTAGATGTTACAATTGTAAAACAACTATTTTATCATTCATTTTCTTAAAACACACATCAAACTCAAATGCATCTTACATTATGCGACAAAGGTAGTATAATTTACCATTGATTAACCAAGGTGTTAAGTATACAAGATTGTATATAATGGAGGTAGGGCTGTCAAACGGGCCAACCCGACCCAACCTGACCCGACCCGTAACGGGTTATGCTCTATGTGGGTTGGGTCGGGCCGACCCGTTTAATGAAGGGCCAGAATTTCTACAACCCTAACCCAACCCACCTAACACGTGGGTTAAACGGGTTGGCCCGCGGGCCAATAATGTAAAAAATATATATAACAATTTTTTTTAAAAATAATTACTCGGAAGTATATATTTATATTAATAAAATTCAAAACTATATTTTTGTATTTTGGCCCGCGGGCCAACCCGCAACCCGGTGGACCAACCCACTTAAACCCACAACCCGCGTGGGTTGACCCGCGAAGCCCGCGAACTAAATGGGTTAGAAATTCTCAACCCTAACCCACCAATAAATGGGTTTAAACGGGCCAGCCCGCGGATTTCGACCCATTTTGACGGCTCTAAGGACATGTATGCATATGGTATTAATCAGTCGGGTGTATATTCTGTTATGTAAATGGTGCCTGGCACTAGACATCAGGTCCCCGATTGCTGATGCCACTTGGTCAAATATTTTGACAATACCTTTTGCTTATAATTATGTACGTACGGGTATTATGTACTCCGTATAATTTAATTTATAATCTTTTATAGATGGTATATTATACGTAGACAAAGGAATGATCCCATCAAGTCACCCTGAATGGAATCATCGTCTAACCACCTCCATTTGAGGTGCTTCTAAGTGGAATTATTTGATAGAGTACTGTGTGCATTTTGTTCATTAAATGTAGATTATGTCCATCAAATTTCACCTTAATATTTACTTCAATTTAGTAGATCTTTGGAAATTGAAAAATGACCACATCTTTGAAAATTGACCTCAATTTAGTAGATCTTTGGAAATTGACTTCAATTTATGAGAATTGACTTCAAGGAATAACCCCGATGATTTTTGGGGAGACAGTGGTAAGTTTATGAAGAAATATAGCATACATATACGGATATATACCTACTCAATTCACATGAAATTGAATTTGAAACAGCAAGCAGTCCAACCAACAAGATCATTTGAAAAACAGAATTCAATTCACATAAATAGGAAACAGTAAGCTGCAAACATACCAACTAACAAGACCATTAAAAAGTACGTAGAGTTCACAGTAGCGACCAGATAAGCATCTTTTAAACATAAAATCAAATCAATTAGTAGTTTCTATAGTGCATGTTACAAACGTACGTAGGTTATGTACTTATGTCAACAAAACACAACAACATATATATGACATATCATGGTAACCCTAATGACCACACAATTTGGCCAACAACGACATATCATGGTAACCCTAATGACCACACAATTTGGCCAACAGCGACATATCATGGCCATGGACAAAGGTTGGGTGTAACCCTAATTTGTTCCCATTTCTAAAGTACATGACGGAACAGAGTAGAATTTGGTCAAGTGTTTCCGAATCGCGTTGATGTATTTTTTTTTGACGAAAAAGAGTAAAATGGAGTACTGAACTCCGAATTTGAAGTGGCTGCGAGGAAGATTGAAACGCTGACAGATCTTTAACGCTTTTCGGATCCGACAACTCCGAAAGCGTTCCGTCAGAAAATGTCAGCCATTTTCGGAGCTGACAACTCCGAAGCAGAAGATAGGATTTCCCAACATTTTCATTGGTCCGTCGGATTCTACCGTGATAATATTTTCAGCATAAATACTCCTCCTCCTCCTCCACACTTTCACACCCACCAACATCTCTTATCCTCCTCCCACACTTTCATACCAACAAAACAAACAAGGCTTCTTGTTCAAAGGTTAGAGTTTATTATTATTATTATTATTATTATTATTATTATATTATTATTATTATTATTACAAAAAGAAGTTTAATATTATCTGTTCTTATTATTCCATTAGTAGTAATAATTGTAGAACTTTTTCATATTTACTTACTTCATATCCATTAGTAGTAATAATTGTAGAACTTTTAAACTACATAATATTATTGAACACATTTATTAACATTAAATTAAAAACATGATAAAAAATTTAGTATTTGTTTACGTATTAATTGTAGGTTGTAATGGCTGAACGAGTTGCACACCCTGGCCCTCGGGATCGTTCTGTTTTAGTTATGATACCCGGTGAGCATCGTGCCGATCGTGTGTGGCACGAATCAGCATTTCGAGATGACAAACTGAGGTGCCATCACTATTCGTCATGTGCCTATGTTGATGATGGTCCGCGTCATCCTAGGGTGGTACGGTTGTTGAGAGCATCTGGGTTTCACGGTGTCGAGAGAATAGGACAAATACAGTTAGATTGGTCACTTCTGACTGCGTTAGTGGAGAGGTGGAGACCCGAGGTACACACATTTCATTTGCCCTTTGGTGAGGTAGGATGTGCAAGTGTTGTTGGGGTTGCCCATTGACGGCATACCACTCATTGGTCCCACGATTACTGATAAGGCAGCGTTGTTGCAGATGTGTGCACAGTCTGTTGGTTTTATACCAGAAGATGATGATTTAAATTCAGCTACCATAAAAGTAACAAATATCCACCCCATTCCATTAACCGATTGGAGCACTGAAAACGAGGTGACTCAACACACTAGGGCCCTCATTTGGCAGTTGTTAGGTGATTCATTTTTCCCTACCACTAGTGGAAACATGGCTAGTTGGTATTTCTTGGAGTTGTTGCAGGGGAACTTAGTAGATGTGCGCCGATGGAGCTGGGGCTCAGCGGTCTTGGCCTATCTGTATCACACCATGTGTAAGGCGGCCAAGGCCCAGGCTAAACAGATTGGAGGATGTTTAATCCTTCTACAAATCTGGGCATGGGAAAGATTGCCGATGGTTCAACCCCAAGGTCATCTCCCACTTGACCATATATTGGATTTTCCGTATGCTGTTAGGTATTGTTTAAATAAATAATACATTATCTATGTTACTTTGATTATTGTATTACAAGATGCTATTTATGCTTTTAATCTACGCTATTTATTTATTTATTTATATTATTGTTCATGGAAACTAAATCTAGGTGGGCGTGTCAACATGATTGGCAGCAAACAAATAGATTTTCGTTACGGGTATATAGGGACCAACTAGATCAGATGACGAAAGATGAGGTATAATTTGTTACTTGTACAATTCAATTTTACATGATTTTTAATTTGTTACATTCAAATTCAATAAATTAAATGATATAAATAACTATGTGTGCTTACTAATTGGGAGATATTTTTCAGTTCGAATGGATCCCCTATCCGTTGATGAACCTTCCAGCATATTGTCATTATGCGAACAATTTGTGGGCTGCGGAGGTTCCATTGATTTATACACGTTTTTCTGAGGCACACTATCCTAGGAGGTTTTGTCGTTAATTCAACGCATATCAGGATCGACCCGCTCCGGTTGTGGTATGGCATCGTCACCACAATAGTGGATCACGTTTCATGGTCGAGCTTGTTGAAGAATGGGCATTACGGTGGAACAAAATATTCCCACTTCAGTGGGTTGACGAAGGTCCTTTCATTAGTGATGAGTACCGCGAGTGGTACCGTAATGTAGGAAAACGATGGCTCACAAACCCGTGTGTTGATCGTCCCACTCAGGGATTCGTTCCTGCTCACCCACAAACGCCTATTGCGGTAACTATTCGTTTTAATTCGTAATTCTATTAATAAATAATTTGAAACAAATTATAAAAACTGATGCATATTTTAGATTCAATGTTTGGGTGAGATAATTCGCCGATTACGAGTCAGAGATGATCCGGATGACATCATTGCGCACGGTGTAGAGTGTCTTACACGACTTGGTGCAGAAGAAGCGATTGATCATGACATCATCACATATGAAGCTGCAGATGTTGATCCTCTCACTGCTCATCGTCCCCCACGCCCTCATCGTGGGAGGGGTGGTCCCACACGCGGAAGGCGAATTGGCCGGGGTAACGTTCGGATGGGGGATGCTGGCACCCATGATGATGCACATCTGCATTCTCAATCCTCTCGTGCCAGTTCATACCATCCATCTCCGGTGCATCAACCACATGTGTACTCCACACCCACCAGTCCAAATATTCCTATATTCGATGCAGGACCTAGCTTTTCCCATTCATCGGTGGATTGGATGATCGACTTATTTGGCTCTGAGACCGCAGGACCGAGCACCCAACCTGTTGTTGAGGTTAGGCCGAGATGGGAGCCTCGCAGTCGTGAGACAGATTCAGACGAATCCGAGTAGTTGTAATAAATTATATCATTGTAGCTATATTAAATCTATTATATATGTTGTGGTTGATATTGAATATTTTATCAGATAAAATAATGTCTCTGGTCAGATTAAAAAGAATACTTTATCAGATAAAATATTCCAGGTCAGATTAAATATCTCTGTATAGATGCTCACCCACCCGGCAACTGACATCATTACTCCCAACCACCTCAATAATGCCTCTGGTCAGATTAAAAAAAATTACTTTATCAGATAAAATATTCCCGGTCAGATAAAATATCTCTGTATACATGCTCACCCACCTGGCAACTAACATCATTACTCCCAACCACCTCAATAATGCCTCTGGTCAGATTAAAAAAAATACTTTATTAGATAAAACATTTCCGGTCAGATAAAATATCTCTGTATAAATGCTCACCCACCCGGCAACTAACATCATTACTCCCAACCACCTCAATAATGCCTCTGGTCAGATTAAAAAGAATACTTTATCAGATAAAATATTCCCGGTCAGATAAAATATCTCTGTATAGATGCTCACCCACCCCGTAACTAACATCATTACTCCCAACCACCTCAATAATGCCTCTGGTCAGATTAAAAAGAATACTTTATCAGATAAAATATTCCCGGTAAGATAAAATATCTCTGTATACATGCTCACCCACCCGGCATGTGGAAGAATTGGGAACACCTCGATTTCAGAGACGTTACTGTCTTCGCCACATTAGAAGCAACTTCATGTCCCAATTTAGAAGTAAACAACTAAAGAAGTTGTGTTGGCGAGCGGGAAGTACCCCGATTGTAAGTGAGTTTAACCATTTCATGCAACAAATTAGGGGTACTAACGAGAGAGCATTCAAGTATTTAAATGACATTCCCCAAGAAAAGTGGGCACTTTGTTTTGATGGTGGTTGTCGTTATGGTATTTCGACAATAAATCTTTCGGAAAGTTTCAACAATGCTCTCAAAGGATGTAGGACATTGCCAATCACTGCCCTTGTACGAGCAACTTTTGACAAACTAGTCCAGCTCTTCGCCCAACGTCGTAGTGCTGGTATGATGTGGCAGCAAGCTGGATATCATTTTCCGGACAACATTCGGAAAGAGATTATGGAGCGTTGGCACCAAAGACCTCACACTATGGTTCTTCCACACAACCACTACACAGGAATTTACTCAGTCGCCGTGGATAATGCAACACCTGTTACGGTGAATCTATCGAGACTTGTCTGTGAGTGCGGTTGTTGGAGGATGAACGGCATGCCATGCGTCCATGCGCATGCTGTCTGCCATTTTCTTAAGTGCCCTGTTGATCATCTTATTCCAGAGGTATACAAACTAAGTTCTTACATAAATGCACATTCGAGTGATATCATGCCCTTGCCGAATCTGAATGAGTGGCCACAAAATGAGTTCATTCTTCTGCCGCCTAAATACTCTTCCAGAACTTCTCGAGTAGGACGCCGTCAAGAAACAAGATTTCCAAATGAGGCACAACATGATTGATTCACATTTGTACTCTCTTATGGTGTATTATTTCTTTTCTTTGTAGTTTGTTTTAATGTTGTAACACTTTTATTAGCCATATGTTTCAAATGTACTTTTAATATGTTATGAACTTTGTTTAATTTTGAGTTCATATGACTTAATGGGTCACTTATTATTAAACACGTGATACTGTAAACTGTATTTGTAATTACTTTCAAGTTAATAATGCTGAATGAGTCAACTGTTTTTAAAACTCGTCACATTGATTAAGTATATTGATACTTTTAATCGATGTACTTTGTTATTTTTTGGGTTCACATTTTTTAATGGTTAGGTTTTTATTATTCGGGTTCAGTATTTGTGTTCAAAATATTTATTGGGTCAATTTTGTAAAACGTGTGCTTATTTAATTGAATGGGTCAACTTTTTGTAAAACGCGTATTCATGAACAATATTGTACAATTTTTACTTAAGTTGAATCACTTATGATTTATAACAAACACAAAAAAATCTTTTAAAAAAAAATTTAACAAATTTTTTTACTGAAGTGAAAAATTCAGCAACAAAATTGAGGCCAAACAAAATAAATCATCTTTAGGAATTCGTTTTCGGACCTGCCAACTCCGAATTCGGAGGAGTGAACTCCGAAATGGTCTGACATTGTCCAGAGACTCCGTTTTCGGACCTGCCAACTCCGTTTTGCGCTATCCCAGAAAACTTCAAAAAAAATACATCTTTAGGAGTTAGATGTTAGAAATGTGCACTTATCCGTCAAACACCCTGATGCGAAGGTTTAAAAGTGTGAAAATCTTTTCGTTACAGATGAAAAATGAAAGTGTGAATATCTTTTCGTTACGGAGGTGGTATATTTCTATGCATAATCTCTTACATTAAAATAAAAAATCTTTACAAATTTGGGGTGGGTCACGGCTGATCAAACCCATACGTACGTCTGCCATTGACAAAATATAAATTCAGAATCACAATTATGCAAAAAGCTAGGGGTATACTCAAAGCTAGTCCTGATATAACGGCCCCTTCCAACAAAAGTGGGACATTCTTTTCATTGTTCCAAAAGGTGGAATCTCCCACAAGAGGAGCCCCCCACACTCTGACCCGACAGAATTTTTGGTAGGACATTCTTTTCAAAAACAAGTAAAAATATACTACCTCTGCCCCCTAATATTGAGACGGAAGGGAGTAGTGTAGTTTTTAAGAAAAATAGAATTATGTGGTTGATAATGAGTTGATAAAGTGTGAATAAAATAAGAATGAATAAGAACCACACAAATATTATCAAATATGGTATGAGACAATAATAGGGCGACATCAAAAAATGAAAAAAATGAGACAATAATAGGGATGAAGGAAGTAGATAGTATAACATAAACAAAGATCATAGCAGTGATACATCACTGATAATTTATGTCAAAATACGAGTTATTGTAAACATAATAGTCAAAAGGAGTACGTAATTCCATAAATCAGAGAAAATAAAAGCAAAATTACAAGAATAGGAGTCTAAGTTTGAAATTCATAAAATAGGACACATACACAAATATAAAGGTAAAACAAAAGGTACGCAGACCTCAGACGCCGCTGCAACCATATTCCAGCATTGTCACAGCCGATCGCTAGAAAAATATGCCAACATTGAAAAACAATTTCATCTTGATGGTGATAGTTTTAGAGGAAAAGTTGGCATTTAGAGTAATAATGTCATCTTCATAATATTTTAAGAGAAATGAGACACTTTTTTTTACACAAGTTTGCATTTTTTAGTGTTTGGAAGTGGCGGTGTTGAGAGGCGGAAGATGCCTATATAGTTTTTCAATTTTTATGTATTTTTTCAAGTTTTTACTCCCTCTGATTCGAAAAGAAGTTCCACCTTTTCTTTTCGGGTAGTTTCAAAATTAATTTCCACTTTCAAATATTTCCTTATTTGGCAAATTATCTACAACAAACCAGTGTCAAACAGTGTTCAAACAATGCCAAACAGTGTTCAAACAGTGCCAAACAGTGCACTTCACAGTAAAGTCAAATTTATTTTCTTAATATGTATGAAGTCAAATGTGGAACTTGTTTCAGAAAAGGAGGGAGTATATTTTTGTTATATTTTTTAATTTTTTTTTACTTTACCTTTTTTAACTTTTTATTATATAAAAGATAATTTTATTATTTTTATTTTATTAATCTAAATAAAGATATAATTTTCTTATTGATAAGAGTAGAATGAGAAAAGAAAGTATAAATTACTCTAGAAATATATACACTATAGTCTTTTTTTTTGCATTTTAGGATTAGTTTACTCTTAATTGTGGCTATTATTTGTCATTAAAATAAACACTAGCACAATTGAGAAATTCTTCCAACATATTTCACTAGTAGAAAACTGGCTTATAGTAGCACTTTTATAGTGACACTTTCTGAATGCCACTAATAACACAAAAGTGTCACTATTTGCTAACACAAATACATCAGCCTTAAGTAGTGACACTTAACATTTTTTACGGAGTATATTCTTGAACTTATAAGCTAGGCATGCGTAATTACACTCAACTAATGGGCCAACCCATCTACTACATAGAGTTTACTACCTCTGCGCGATTCTCCATCGCCGGCTTTCTCCATCGATCCGTGCTCCCTCACCCGCCGGTTTCTTGGGTCTGCTGCGCATCTCACGGCCGGTTGATCCTCACCAGGTATTCCTCGTGAGCGATTATCGTCGATTTCGGGTATGTAAATAATCCTTCATCTCCTCCCTAAGCAATCCTTCAATTTTATCATCTAATATAGAAATCCTTCAAATAGTCCTCTAGACATTTGCCTAGGGCCTCATGTTCCTGGAGAGCCTAAAAATATATGATGTATTAGACCAGTAATGAGATAAGCTTTTACTCCGTAATTTTTAAGTTTAGCAATCGAAAATTAGATTTGGCATGCGGCTTCTGGACTCCAATCGACAAATGGAAAAATTACTTGAGGATGCATCAAAGACCTCCCTGCTAGACAACTTGATTACTTTATGTAAATATTACTCTTACATAAACAAATAAACTATAAAAGATAAAAGTTACTGCTATTAGGCACGTGCTTGGGCTTATGATTAAAGATCAATCAATATACATTATTGGGTTAATAACTTAATATTGCTTATTCCGGTGTTCTATTTTGATAAATCAAATAATTTAGTAAATACATAAAGTAGTTTTAGATTTAGTTTATTAGATGGTGCAATCCAATATAAATATTTATCTATCTTTAGTGATCATAGCAAATTAGTTATTTTGTTTGATTTGTGATTCTCAATAAAAATTATATTTGTAAATTTTAACCTTTGTGGACTTATCTATTTATGGGTTTCCTGTTAACTATAAATATGTATGTATTGTAATAATAGAAAAATAAAAATAAAGTTGTATATTCAACATGAAATTATAAATTCAGAAGAGAATAGCTCATAAAATTATCTGATTAAAAATAAAAAAATAAAAAACTGTCTAGGAGAGATGAACAACATCAAGCAAGATGCTGAAATCTTTGGATTCCAAATAAAATCTATCTTTAACAAGGAGGTTTGCCGCTTGGTTATCAACTTTGAGCAGGTTACAAATTCAGTTGTTGAAATTTGGGCGAGGTAATAAGTTCCCATTTGGTATATACGGAGTATTAAATTTAGTTGTTTTAAAATCATTATTGTATTACAGTATGAAGTGGTAATAGTATCTTTTATAGACATCAAAATGAATGAACTTAATTCAACTTGATGAGTAATAACTTAACAGGTACTTGCATGAGAAAATGGAGGCTGATGGAGGGGCATGGCAGTCCAGTTTGATACTTTTGCTGCCATAGCAATACCAAAGAAGGCATCACACCAAACGGTTACTAGGAGGTCACAATACATAGCCGATCTTTTGGATATTTCCTTGTTTGGACAAATGACTTTAATCCCCTATAATACCGGGTAAGTAATCTCTTTTGCAAACTTTTTGTGTCATGCTTATAGTGCCTGTGGCAAGTGACTTGTATTTGCAAACAATGTTGCTTTTCTAATTACATATAGTTTCATTGTTATGTAGGAATCATTGGGTGTTGGTCACCATCGACATGGCGGCTCAAACAGTCTTCTACCTAGATTCCTTAGGAGGAATTCCATCAAAGGATTTGGAGGAAATCATGAATCAGTTAAGTTACATAGGCCATTTAAATGTAAATCTTGATTGCATGTACACTTTATGAGGAAATATTGGATCGGTTGAATTTTACTAATGACTGTGTGTTTCCTTTTCAGAGGGGTGATGATTAATGATGCCCAAAAATTTAAGAAAATGTTGAATTTGAAATGGGTGAGAGTGATGGTATGTACACTTTGATGTTTATTATCACTTTTAGTATAAATTTATTTATCTAAGTCAATAATTTATATATGTGTGTAACTTTGTATCATTCATATATGTGTAAACTGTATTATGCTTGGATTAGAGGTTTCTTACGGTATTAGGCAACAAACGCAACTGGTGCTTTACTATAACTTGTTCTTTGTTTTTACTAAATCTTAGTTTGTATTTACTGTCTATTTAAATTGAATATATGCAGTGCCCTAAGCACACAGGAGGAGTTTAGTGTGGTTACTTTGTGATGAAGTACATGAAGGATATTATATCAGACGTGAATATGTTGAAACGGAATCTGAGCGCAATTGAGAACTTTTGATTTTTATTAATTAAATTAGTGTATGTTGTAATCATAGTAAATGCTAATTAATTTAATTTTACATTGAAGTTCTCTACCATCAACGAGTATACTGAAAATGATATTTTACATGTGCATGAGGAGTGGGCTTACTTTGATAAAAAAGTAAGTTCATATTGAAAATTTACCGAAAATAAGTTTCATAAATATATAGATGTAATATTATATTTTGTTTGATATGTAGTGTGCAAGCGGACCCCACAAAGGCTTGATGAAATGCACGGAGAGATGCATTTCAGATTGTATTATTGATGGCGGTTAGAATGATCGGTGTTATGTTATGTATTGAGAATGTGACTTTTCATAACTAAACATTGATACTTGTTGGGAATGTGACTTGGTTTGTATTTTAGCATCTTCAATGATGCTTGGTATTAGTTTTTTGTTGGATTCTATAGCCGCTTTTTTTTTTTGCAAGAATTGTATGCCGGTTTTTTTTGCGGGAATGGTCCTATAATTTTGCTACATCTTTTATCCGGCAGTAGGAAATGCAAATGAACAAGAGTGTGAAAGTGTTACTAAATATTATATCTTAAATGATGTGTTTTGGGTATACATTAATTTTTGGATGTTATTATATTTATCAATGAAGTAAACACTCAATTGGATTTCTACTAAAGCTACCATAGGCATATATTTAGGCCTGTATAGGCCCAATACACAAAATCAACCAAGTGACATTAAAGTGTCATAAAAATTTATGATGCTGAAGTATCATTAAATTTTATGATGTAATAGTATCACAATTTGTTCTGATGTATAAATGTCATCATCTTAGACGATACATTAGTGTCATAATTCGTCGACACAAAACCGTTCTCGTATTAGTGACACTTTATTTAGTGTCACTGACGCACACTTTTCCCGACACTTTTTAAGTGTCACAGAAAATTTTTGTGACACTAACTTAGTGTCACTACATGTCATTTTTCTACTAGTGTTTATGTCACGCCCCGGACCTACCCGGACACGTCAACAACCCGCCGTACAGTACGAATAGTCAACCGCAGTCCGACTCATCCATACTATACAAGGCGTCTTGAATACCATTCACACATAGTACATCCATGAACAAACATAATGTAAAACATTTATTAAAGCAGCGGAAACAGTTGATACAAGTGTTCAAGCCACACTTGGCATAATTAGGCATGCAGGCCCCCAAAGTAATTATTCAGAAAATATTATCCATGAGCATTGTTTTAATCTGTTTTCAAAACAGAAACGGAAGAAGCACGAACCACGTCTTCTCCCTTCGATCTTCCCGAAGCAACGGGCGGTGGTAGCAACCTTCAAGTTCTACCTGAAACTGTGAGGTGGCCTCCCCCGTGAAGGGGAGGTCAGTACTTGGAAACATTTGAAAAGTACAATAGCAATTATACTAAGTATAATCGATGTTTAAATTTCTAAGACCCTCAATTCAGGGTGATATTACATTATAGGTCATAACCCTCGTTTACCCCTTTTTGCTATTTAAATTATACTTACTTTATATGAAGTCAAGTAGTCGGCCCGTGGGCCCATATTCATTTAGAATTCATCATTTCCATTCCCCCGTGACCGCAAGTCACGATAACCCTGTGGGGTCCCATCGAGCCCCAATTGTATAGCAAGGGCTCGGCCCAACTACATTTCTATACAATCCTCTAACTCAATATAACACATCAAAATTGTATGGCAAGGGCTCGGCCCAACTACGTTTCCATACCAACCATAACTTCGTGGCAAGGGCTCGGCCCAACTACGTTTCCACGAAGATCACAAATACATGGCAAGGGCTCGGCCCAACTACGTTTCCATGCTAATCATATTACATGGAAAGGGCTCGGCCCAACTACATTTTCATGTCATCCTAGAGTCCAACTCTAATTATTTTCATAATCCAATTCTCAAGCAAATCCTATGCCTAGAATCAATTCCCTTGGATAGCCTTTAGGCCTACCCCTAACACACCTTAGTGTTCATACAATTCAACCTTAAAGTATCTCTTGAGACTACTTAAGGCATATCTATTCACAATCCTACCTCTTAGGATTTATTTCATCATTTAATTATATTAATCCCCCGACTAGTATTTTGATACTAGTTGGATAATCTTAGAACCGCCAAGTTCTTACCTCATAGCCAATTAATTCATCTCAATTGATTTTCCAATCCAAATATAATTTAACCCCAAATATCAAAAATATCACTTTCAACCATTCATGAATTTCATGCATGAAGTAAAAGTATATTTTATCACAATATTATCATAGTTAATCTCATCATCATACCATCACTTTCATATCACATAACCATACACAATTTACTCTAAATTTGTATATCGTGCTTCACTTTTTCACATGCAATAGTATTTTCATTTAGGCATTATTATTCATTAATAATCCATGAAAATCACATTTAATAATTTAGGTAATCTTACGAAATTAACCCAACAATTATAAGCAATATAGTCAACCATCCTCACCTCGTGATGTGCTACAATAGTTGTCTTTGTTAAGCCCCTCGATCAATCCCCGTTCTAGGCCGGTTGAAAGTGAAAAACTGGATTCCTGAGCCAAAGCCGGGCGGCTTTCGTAGTCTGCAACTACGAACAGCTCCTTTGGAGTGGCGGTTTCCGGCGATTTCGACTCCTATCGATTTGTCAATCCTTCTAAGTTAATTACCACCAATTTATATCAATATTCTACACTTTTAAACGTGTAGAACTCATGATTTAATCCACCATATGATTCCTTAAAAATCATACACAAAAACTAGTTAAAGAAAATACTAGTTGAGCTCTTACCTCAAACTCAAGCCTTTTCTTTTTGGATTTCCTTCTTCCTTTGGTTCTTCAAGCTCAGGAATATTCTGAGATCTTCTCAAGTCTCCTCCCTCTCCCTCTCTTGTGTGAGTTATCCGAATGATTAGAGTAGGAGTGGGGGAGTATTCTTTACTCTCAACCCAATCACTCTCATGAAGAGTCCAAAGGAAATTATATTAATGGGTGAGGGTGAGTTTGTCTCCATGAGGCTTCCCCTATTATTTGATCAATCAGCACCCCTAAAACGTGGGGTGGCCCCCACTTATGTGGGAGGTCATCCCATTATGTCCCGGTGTGTACAATCGGCCCCGAAAGTTGTATTTCTCGGCCCGTTTTAATCATATTTTATTTTACCGGACCAAATAAAATATATCACGCGTCCCAACAATTTTGGGCCTTTAGAATATATGTACATCCCCCAATATTAATTTAGGAGTCTCCGAAACTCATTTCGGGCTGTTATCCGCTAAATCAACAATACCGGTAATTGGGCCCCGTCACTAGTAGAAAAAGGGCCTATAGTGACACTAATTTAGTGTCACAGAATCTTTCTGCGACACTAAAAAAGTGTCGGGGAAAGTGTCGGCTAGTGACACTAAATAAAGTGTCACTGATTCGGGGACGGTTTTGTGTCACCAAATTATGACACTAATGTATCGTCTAAAATAGCGACATTTATGCATCAAGAACACATTGTGACGTTAATACATCACAAAATTTAATGACACTTCAACATCATAGATTTATATGACACCTCAGTATCATAGTACTATGAAAACACACATGATATATTGATTATAATATATATAATATAATACTACAAACCATAATATCAAAGTTTTTTATTTATATCTCAAATTCTCACATAAATGTGAGTGTACATAGTACATAATTCATAGGGGCATCCCCCAAAAAATAAATAACACACAAGAAGTAAACGCTGACTAGTCCAACTTTTACACCATGCTTCACAAGGCGTTCACATTATTCTTATACGTAGACATCACATTTTCTTCTACACAGAATGAAGTCATCATTCTTATACTGCCAACGCCACTAGGAAACCTTAGCAGCTGCACTGAATCCCTTGTTATACACTCATACTTGTTCGTGAGAATAAGACTTTTTCTTTAGGCTTGCCCGTTTGTTTGGGTGAAACCAGACAATGTACCTCTTCTGTAATCATCGGTGCAAGTCTCACATTGTACTCAAAATCTAAGTACCTCTTCTGAAAAATGACAATAGTAATAAAACATAACTCGACAGAACAAATCACAAACACTAAAAAAGTGTTAAAAACAAAGGGTTGATATGCTGATCGAAAGATATTGTAGCCAGTCAAACACTTATCTTTTCACAAAGATAGTTAAATAAACTTATTTCATGCAAGAATGCGCTTCATGCAAGCCCAACTTCTTCCAACATATAGAGTACCTTTCGTTCAATCGTGAAAGTTATTGAAGCAAAAAAATGTTATAATTAGATATAGGGCTAACACCAGAGCCTTCTTTTTGTGATAAAGCCAATCTCAACTGTGAGAAATCAGTAAATAACTCATCCTCGCACTCCTTAAGGGGTAGTAAGTGATCTGGGCAAGTTGCAATATCGGGAATACAAGGCATATAAACACTCAGTTCTTTATTTATCTTACTTCGTTCAATCTTGGAAACCTTCACTTTTGGCAAAACGTTCTGCTTCCCACCTCACACCCCTGAGATACTCTACTCCATCTTCTGGAGGACCTGAATCAAAATTGACAAATTGTTAGTTAATTAATACATAGCATATAGTTATTAACTAGATACTTTGTAGATACACACTACTTAACTGATTAGTTTTTGTTTATACCATATAAAACTAAGCAATCTATACAATCTACACATGTATAAAGTTATAATCATTAGTCAAAATTTATTTGCTTCTTCCCAAATGAGTCATCCCAAATGAGGCAAAAATCTGCCACACATCATCAAAAACTATTCTGTAAATAGTTTTAAATTATGATATAATATTCTAAAAAAACAGATTTGGTTTCGATATTTCCTCACTTTTGGGTTAAAAAACTAAAAATTAAAATTAAAGGAGGTAAAGATATAGGTGCCAAGTTAAAGATCAAGTACCTCCATGCTAGCATCTCCGATCACCATCGAAAATAGTGTAGTCCAAGGTTTTGTTACCAATTTGGCTCCACCCGTGAGTCTTGCATCTCAATCACCAACAGATTCTTGGCAACCAGCCGTTCTGGAATCATTGAGCTGCTGCCAGGTTTGTCCAAGATTCCCAGCCCTACAATTCCAGGTACATTGGCAGAGACCCCAGCTGTAGCCAACACAATTTCAGTTTCAATTTGAACCCCCTTAGTCCTTTCCTCAGAATTCAGAATCTTCGCAACTCCCTTAGCAGGTTGGTCATCCATTTTTCTCTTCTCTGGCAGTTTATTTGCAGAGTTCAAAACCGGGAAATCAACATCCATGTCTTCTAAGGAAGCAAACCTCGACCTGGTAATTATCACTGAGGACTCCCCTGACCCCTGTTTCTTTCTGGCCATCGTACCAACAAGCAGAGAACAAACACAGGCCGATTCCTAAGTGAGAGAGCTGAAATCGGTGTAAATCGGAGTAACCTCGCCCTGTAAACTCCCAAACCACCCTTTGAATCGTGTTTTGGCATCAACATTACAATGCATCAGTACAAAGTTCATTTCAGCATTTTATCAAATACTTTACATACAATAATCCACATTGAAACACAAAGAACAAAAACTAGCTAATAAAAAAGGCATAATGCAAAAAGAATACTCCGTATGATGCAAACTAAGTACACAGTATATTAATCCAATCTAACTAATTTAAGCTCTAAGTAAAGGGACACACAAATATAAGTTACCTTAAGATTGTCAGAATAGGAGACTTATTATCTTTACACGTAATTTTTTTTAAAAAAAATCGAGTGGTAAAATAGTTAAAAATACTAAAGTCAGATATATAATCAAAGCAAAATCAAAGGGGAATTAACCAAAGGGAATATATTCAAGTTTAAGAACTAATATGAGAGCTGACAAAAACCTGAAATTAGAGAATCATCTCCGTTCTTCCAGGTATTTCTTTTGCTATTTTCCATGTTCCTACCTGTAGTAGGCTGCCCACGAATTTGCTGAACTGAAAACTAATATAAACAGGGAATGTTTTCACATAGACATTTTATCGAACAGATAGTGTGCAAAGGAAAAACTCATTGATGCATGCTTTAAAGATAACAACTACACTCTACGAATTAATCAGGACAAATTGCAGGAGTAAAATAGACAGTTAACTAAGTTACTTTTCTACCACTACACTTCTTAACAATGTGCCAAGACTAAGAAATTGTCTAAAGAATAGGTAAACCGTAAACATAACTGAAATATTATTTGCTAAAACATTAAATATCAAATCTGATATATAGGAGGATTACCTTCAACACTACGTACTTGCTTGTTTAATCCTCAATCAAATTTTTATTGACCTTCGATGCATAAATCAGATTATTACTAAACGATCACCCTAATATAGGGCCTTTTGCTATTTACGAATTGCTGGGCTAGCGCATTATCGTTCGGATTAACGTATGCAAAATCGAGAAATCGCCATGAAACCCGAAATTTGTATCATCATTAGTATAAACTCGGGCGAACTGTTCATTAGCGAACTGTTGAAGGGTGCCATGGACTAAATCGATCGAACTCGGGCGACGGAGTATGTGCTCTAGCTCTGGACGAAGAATCGGCCGATTGAGAAGGATATTAGCGAGAGTACAGCCGATCGGTAGAAATTAGCTATGGAAATCGATCTCAAGCTAGGGCTGGTTTGTGCGGCGCGACTCTATCTCTGGACGAACGAAACATTAGATCGATGGATTTTTCTTTTTGTGGGATATGATATGTTAGCAAGTGTAATGAAACCAATTAAGCTAAGTTAAAAAATTTAAAGCTCACACCTAGCTACTCGGCCCATTAAGTGTCACTATTAAGGAGTGATGTTTTTTTGTTAGAAATTAGTGACACTTTTATGTCATTGGTAGTGTTCTATCAGAAAAGTGTCACTACGAAAGTGTCACTGTAAGCCAGTTTTTTACTAGTGCGTTTGACCAACCGGTCAACTCCATGCCTTTCTTATGGCCCAAATAGAATATCCACCACCATATAGATGTCATCTAGACCAAGATGAATATAATATGTGGTTCGGGAATTATCAGGCGGTCCCCGTTCCCGCTATGGGCCCCACATGCAATTTACTATTCACGTAAAAGAAATAATAAAAATTTAACAATTACTTAAATTCATAAATCATCTTTCAAGGTTTATTACATAATTTACTAAAAGTAAATATGCTTGGGAGCGGTGCTACAGTTTAGATGCAAGGTTTCAATGTCAATCGCTTTGAATATTTCAAATCAATTGATATTAATGACAATCAATTGGCTTTAAAGAACTTCTTTATGGTGAGGGAACAATAATGAATACTAAACAATACTCTACAAGCAATAAAAGCACGTGGAAAGCATTTCTTATCTTTTAAAAATTTTATTATTCTTGTTGCCCCATTTCCATCAATATCATTTCATTGCTCATCCATTTTAAAATTGCTTTCGAACGAGTGCAACAACCTTTTGAATCTATATATGAATCTATATACTTATAGATGGTAACTTTTAAGAATTGAATAAGAATATAAACATATTTACATTTGCTTTTGTATTGCTCAAATCTACGTGTCAACTAACAAGTAGACTGGTCTACTATGTACACAACAACACAAAGTATTGCACCCAGCGTAATTCTTCAAGTGTTGTTGAGCTTGATAAAGATGATTGACTGGAATTTTCATCAAATTCTTTTTTCTACGAATCACACACTATTTTGAGGAAACACTTATTCAACTTTCAATTTATTATTGACAATTTCTTTAGCGGCATGAATAGCACTAGGAGACCCATTTTCTCTATACTTCTAGAAGTCCCTTTAACTTCAACAATAGGAATATCAAGGAACATATTTTTTGCTTATAGATTTCTAACCTTATTGTCTTTCTATGCGTTCAGAGCATGTGCTATGGATTCAAGTGATGGTTTGACAATAGTATGATAGTCTATTTGATCCTTTTTTATATGATTATACCGAGTTTTTTTGCAGAGCATTCTAACCTATTATAGTATTTGTTCTGTTAAGACCAACATCCTTGAACTGGGATGAGATTCGAACCTGTGACATCCTTTTTGGAAGTGTCATAGTGATGTCATCAGACCACAAGGTACTTGGTCTGAGTTTATTATTGATCGAAATAGCACATTAAAACCATGAAAAGCAAACTATTACACTTAGGAATGACATTGGGGGTTGGGGCGGGAGTTCACTCCCACATCCCTCGCCCCGTGTCTAAAAAAAAACCCCTCACCCCCATCCCCCACTACTATTCGACCCACCCAATCCTCTGTCCCAACCCGCTAGACCCATGGGTACTCAAAGGGGGAAACATTCGTCAAAAATTAACACTATTTTAGACCCAACCAAATTTTCAAAAATCAAACAATAGTTCTAGTATGTAGCCAAAAAAACCTTTTATACACGTTTTGATTTAGTCATTTTATCAAACACTTTATTAATATTGATTAGCTCTATAATATTTTCTTAAACACTTCATTCAATCAAGGGAAAAATATCAAATAAGCCTCCTTACTATTACAGAAATGTCAATTAAGGGCATCAACTAAAATATCGCTCAATTAAACCCATGAACACATATAAAAAATTCAAATTGGCATTTTAGCCTGTAAAGTCCCGATTGCAGGTAAACTTGATGACGTAGACATGATGTGGCATTCATTTTTTTATTATCTCCTTTTTCTTTTTGCTTTTTTCCTTTTGTTTCTTTTCTTTCTCTCTTTCTTCCTGAGCCCTTTTCTTCTCCCCGACTCCCCATCTCCCCCCTCCTGCCCCTTTCATTCTTTCCCATTCTTTCTTTCATTATTTATTTTACAATCACTATCGCCGTCTGGATGCCGCTGCCAGGACGCCACCGCTGCTATCCCTTAGTTCATCCGCCTGGGAGCTGAGCCGTCTGAGTGCCGGTCGTCTTCTCCGGTCAACTTCCGGAAAAGACAGCTCTGGTCGTCTTTGTTGGAGGTATTGGTCCTACCAAGGCCTCCCTTCCACTTTATTTGCTGAGGCTTGCACCCTATTGTTTTACTCCCACTTTGGTACCTTTTCTTTGGTATATATCCTGATCAAATATATACCTATTTTGAGCGGGTGACTTGATCCACTTGGCTGGACCCTTCTCTGCTTCCTGTCCGCTACACTCTTTGTCTGGCAGTCTGTGAGCCTTTTTTTTGTCTTGGCTCTCACCTGTGACTTCCTTCTGGCCGTTGCTATTATTTAGAGGCCTTGGCCTCTTCCTGTGACTGTAGCCTGCGTAAGTTTGTTCCAGAGAGCAGTGCTCTCTTCTTCTCTGTCCCTTTGTGTGAGAATAGAGAGAGGGTCTTAGTGGTGAGAAGTAAAATTAGAGTGTGCAAAAGCCTCCCCTAGAGTGGTGTGTGAGAGTGTGTGGAGATAGACCTGAGCCGGAGACGGATATACGGTCCTAACAGTGGTATCAGAGACAGGTTCCGCCGTCTACCGCCGCCGCTGTCCACCGCCATCCGCCGCCATCCGTCAATTTGAGGTCCTGGAGGTCATCGATCAACCACTGAAGCCTCGCTTGGTGCCGTTGCTTCCTGTTCACCTCGAATCCGGTTCCCCTCGCCGTCAGCCGTCAAGTTCGAAGCTGGAGCCATCGTCTGCCTGAGAGCCGTCACCGGAAAGCTTGCGGATTGAAAACTGCCAATCTCGTGGTCGTTGAAATCTCTGTTGGAGCCGCCGTCCGTAGCTGGAGCCGCCGTCCGTAGCTGGAGCCGCCGTCGCAGGGAAGGTGCTCGCCGGTCTCCGTTCGTCGCTGGTCTGCAGGAACGCAGGTCGCAGAGGACTGAGACGAAACAGAGAGAACGCAGAGGCTTGGACTTGGTGCTGGAGCTGCTGGGCTGACTTTGGGCCTGGTGGACTGCTTCTGGAACTAAAGGAGCTATTGACTGGCCCATCTGAACTGGAGTTGGGCTGCTGACCTGCTGGATTTGGGCTGCCAAGCTACTGGACCTGGACTGACCTGCTGGGCTGCTGGAGTTGCTGGAGCAGCTGGACCGCCGGTCAACGCCGGTCAACGCCGGTCAACAGTTAGTCAACAGTCAGAAAAATCCCAATTTTTAAATTGGGTGGGTAAGGTCGAAACCCTCTCCTAGGGTTTCGCTAAGGTAAATTGGCGATAAACATCCTAGGTGCACCGGGTGCCTCCGAATTTAATTTATTCCCCCTCCCCGCGGGCCGCCGGTAGATTGTATCTCGGCCGCCAACCCCCCAGGTGCGTTTGCTAAACCCTCTCCTTTGTGGCAGATTGTTTAGTTGTTTAAATTGAATTGCGTAGTGTTGTTAATTTCAATTCTTGTGTGTAGGGGTGGTTTATTGGGTGTTAGGGTAGAATTAATTAATGTTAACTGCTGCCCGGAGTTGTTTTATGTGCCAAACGTTCCATATTTTCTATTTGTTGCATGCTGCCCGGGGTTATTAAAGTGTATACTTTATAGCCCGGGTTTGATTTTTTTTCTGTCAAATTTTTCTGTTTAGCTTTGTGTTGTTTTGTGGTTGATACCATGGCTGCTAATCAGTATGGTATGCTTCCATTTAATGAAAAAACAGATTTTGATATTTGGAAACAGAAAATTAAGTGTGTTTTAATACAACAAAAAGTTTACAGAGTTGTCACTGGTATTTTCCTTGAATCAGAACATAAGGCTAAGCACATTGAAATGAACGAAACTGCTTGTTCTACTATTTACTTGAATCTGTCTGATTATGTGCTTAGGAAAGTGGGTATTCTTGAGTCCGCTAAGGAATTGTGGGAGAAATTAGATAGTCTCTATACTGATACCTCTTTGCCCGGGAAGTTGTTTTTACTTGAGAAATTCTTTAGGTTTAGGCTTGACTTGACTAAGGATATAGATGAGAACCTGGATGTGTTTAATAAACTGATACAGAATATCAAACAGGCAGGTGATAAACACATAGACGATTATACTCCCATAGTATTACTTAATGTCATTCCCGACTCTTATAATGATGTTAAGTCCGCTATTAAGTATGGTAGGGATGAGATTTCGTTAGATATTGTTGTTAATGGGTTAAGGAGTAAGGAATTAGACCTGAAGCATGCTAGGGGTAGTGCTAGTCAGTCCAGGGACTCCGGTGAGGCTATGTTTGTTAGAGGTAGGTCTAAGAACTCTACGCAAAATAGTCAAAGTAAGAACACTAGTCAGCCTGGGAGAAAGAGGAGCAAATCTAGGAAGAGAGTGTGTTACAATTGTGGTAACGCTAACCATTTCATTAAGGATTGCCCTAAACCTAAGAAGACCGAGCATGCTAGTGTAGTTGTTGATAAATGTGACCTTGGTGATATTTTGATGGTTTGTGACCATGTTAATTTTGTGCGTAATTCCCTGTCTGATCATGAATGGTTGATTGACTCTGGTTGTACCTATCACATGTCCCCCTTTAGAGATTTGTTTTCTACATATGAATTATGTGATAGTGGCTATGTTTCCTTAGCTGATAATAAGAGATGCAATGTGCTTGGTGTTGGTGATATATGTCTGAAGTTTTCTTGTGGCTCTGTGTTTACCATTAAGAATGTGAGGCATGTCCCTGATTTGTGTCATAACTTGTTATCTGTTGCTGCTTTGGAGAGTAGTGGTTTACAGGGAAAGTGGGGGAATGGTTGCATGAAAATCTTGAAAAATTCTCTTGTGTTGTTTAAAGCTGAGAAGGTGAATAACCTTTATGTGTGTCATGTTAAACCTTTTACC